AAAAAGGGAGGCGTAGTATTTTGAAAAAAGGTATGGGGAGTGAAAATTTAAAAAAAGGCCCCCCCCCCCCCCCCACCTCTCTAGAAAAAACAGATAGGTTTACAAGATCCACCTATTAGTACTGTAGTGAGAGCTATGAGAAATACCACTATTATAAAAACTTTTGGGTTAATACCAATTTCAGACGTTTTCTAATATCAGTTTTTGATGCTGAATCTAGAAAAAAAAGTTTCAAGAACGGAAACATCGTGATTTTTTCATGTTACCCTCAAAAGCCTGGCTTTCGAGAAAACTCAGGTTTCTGAGGGATTTTGCGATTTTTGAGTAGAAAACAGCTTCAAAATAGAATAAAAAGTAGCTCATCGTGATCAGGAGCTCACGCTCTATCGAACTATGTGCAAAAAACAATAATAAATTTCACTACATTTTTGCATTGCGCGCACCTTACTGATTGAAAGAAAACTGTTCTAATAAATATCGAAATCTGTCTTGAATAGTGAAAATCTAAAGGGATGACGGTGTGCACACATGAGTGTAAATTGCAGTGTGAGTTTTCTGATGATTTTGTTTGTCCGTTTCAGGACCGGTGGCACTCGAAAGTGTAATTGTGTGAGTCTCTTGTATCAGGGGATGTGATGAAAACCTCCAGCTTCCGACTATATCGTAAGTTGAATCCACTAATCGAACGAATGGTCTGATGTAAGATTAAGACTCACGTCGTGGAACCTACCTGAGGTGACTGAAAATGATGAGAGATGAAGAGAATGGATGTGGATGAGATGATAAGGGTGTTTTATTGGATGAAATCGAATAAAACACTAAAGAAAACGATAACAGAAGACTGATCGAAAAGAGAGAAACAACAACATATATACAGATCGAAGATGATCTGAGAAAAAAAAAGAGAAAAAGAAGAAAACAAAGAAGAAATGCAATCACAGAGATCATCACGAGAACGGACATGATAATCAAACGAAAGCTAAAACGACAGGAAAGAAAGAGAAAAAGAAATACATATATATGTATATGTATAGAAATGCAAGAAAACAACTATGTAGAAGGTAGCTTCATGAAGTAATATCCAATGACGCTAACACCTTCCCTCTCCGCGAGATTGATTGAACGTGCGTTTGCCCCCCTAATCAAGGAAGTCAACTGAACAAGGCAATCTCGGAAATAGAAAAATGAGACATCTATAGTGTGACGATTTCTGATGGAAGAGATATATGCGCTGATGGAACTACGCTTATTTATTTCTTCCTCATCGATCGCATCGTTCTGATACAAGACACGCGTTTATATACTCGTCCACAGAGAAGAGAACGCAAGAATATGTCATATCGAAGTACATCAAAATGGACTGAGATAAGGACATAATACGGATAATCCATTAGATGAGAAAAATCGTATCGCGCGTACAACGCATGTCAGAGAGATTGTCACAGTCATGTTTCTTTTTCAGCTTTTAGTGAGCATTTTTTCTGAAATAAAATAAGTAATTTAGTTTAACCAAGCATAGATACAGAAAGCATCTAGCCAAAGAAACATAAGTGGATGTTATTTGTTGATGAGAACAAAAAATTTAAAAGAGAGAAACAACGCTTAGCAGCATATCACTTCTTTTATATTCTATTTATGATGTTTCATGACTTTTAGACCGATTAGAAACATGAATTATTAACAGAAAAAAAAACGTAGGCTATGAACAATTAGGCATGCACCAATACCAAAACTCTTGGTTTTGAGGAATTGGTTTCGATTTAGTTTTGGTTTTGCAGCATTGGTTTTGTGAAGGTTTTGGTAGTTTTGATAGAAGTTTTGATTTGGTTTTGGGATCGACAGTATTGGTTTCGGTAAAGTTTTGGGTTTGTTTTGGATTTTGACGTATTAGTAAAAATAGAAATAGTTTGATAGAATTAGTCTATAAACATTTTATCAATAGTTTCATGAACTGTAAGTGGAGCTAAGACTGCAAAACTTGGTATACATATATCTAGACAATCGGTTTGTTTTCTGTTATATGCTACTTCAAATTGATCAAAGCATGATTGTTGTGTGGCTTGACATGATTGAAAAGCTCTTATAAACTAAATATCGAATGAGCTAATAGATTGCTCAATTAGAGATGTGTTCAATATGATGGCAACACTTGGAGTAAATCATCATGATTGTGCAATTACAAAACAGGAAGAAGCAGCACGGTTAAAATCAGATAGCTCTTTTAAATTACATCCCAACGTATATAATGCAAGCTTCAAAGCTATTGCGTCAAGATTACGAACAAAAAATGAGTTAAAATAATTTTTTATGGTGTTTTTCGCTTCTGGCTGTGTAATACCTATCATTGTCAGTTCATTTTTGCAGGAAAGACTCGTATTTACATGGATTACATCATTCTTTTATTATATCAATGCCAAAAAGTGTTCATCGTGGTCGTTGTCTGTGCGAATGTAGCGAAACAAACCGTAGAAAAATGTAAATGGCAAAACAAACTCAAGTACAAAACAATGGCGGAAAAATAACCTTGATTAATGGATTCCACACAAGTAAATAACAAAAAGATTAAATACATCTAATATACACTTCGACTTTTCATTGATTAAATTCATTCTCGATTTTGTCTTTAAGAAACATCGTTGAACACAAATTTTCTGGTGTCAATCTGGACCGCTGTTTACGGAATAAATACGATGCTGTACTGAAAGCGCTTTCGGATGCTACAGAAGTTGCTGGACTGACAAGATGATGGGTAGCGTACTTGTACAGGTATTTCAATTGAACACGATGCATATTCCAGAACTCCATCTACAAGATTAGAACAAGTCGGTTTCAAAATTTTAAATAATTGTCTATTTTACGTACAGCATTTGAATGTTTTTCACCGTTGATGATGCTATTGTATTCCCGTTGAGCCAAGGATCTATACACGGACATTTCCTCCATCATAAGCTTCTTCTTATTCGATATGGTAATGGATGATAAAAATGGAGCTAAAAATGGTTTCCCAATGGAAGTAGTGAACTTGTTCATAGCAGAAGATTTCGTTTCGGCATATCTTCGTTGTGTATTACTGTATGATTGTGTTTGAGAAACATCGAAATCATCGTTAGTATCTTCGTTGGAATTTTGCTCATCTAATTCAATGATATTTGTTTCACACTCTCGTTGTTCTCTTCTTGTTAGACATCCAAATCCAATGGGATCAAAATACGAGTGAATCTTCGAAATCAAACGCAGTGTCGATTAAAGTTAAAAAAAGCTGATAAAATCCTTACCTTCATGGTTTTCAATTGTGTGAGATTATCAAAAAAATACTTTTGAACTTGCTTCAACAATAAAGATTTCATGTAATGCAGTAGTTTCCAATCGTTAATACTTTGGTCAGTCATATCCTCGAGAAATTCTCGAAATTGATAGATAACGAAATAACTAATTCCAATGGTTGGATATTTACTACCACTGACGAGTTCTGTGGCATGCACAATCGGTTTCAAGACAAATTCGATTAGTTCTAAAATTTTCCAATCATCTTGATTTAATTCGATCGAAGAAAGTTTTGCTGTTTGTTTCTTGTTGAGGCCGATGTCGTATTTTTCACTGTTAATTTTTTTAATGATTTTTTTGTACATTAACAATCCTTCAACCAAATGGTACGAAGAATTCCAACGACTTTTGCAATCCAATTGAAGAGAGCGATTAATTTTGAATTGCTTTTTAAGGCTAGATACGTGGTTCATTAAAATCGATGATTTATTGATCAGTTTGGCAAACGATCTCGATTTCCTCATCACATCGCCAACGTGTTGTTGTATTGAATCGCATGTAGATGGATCCATTAATTCAACAATATCATTTGACCAGTTATCCATAAAATCCGTAATATATTCATCGAATTCTGTATCAACTAACATTTCACTTGTGATAACATCATCGAAACGAGTATTCAAATCTTGACTTCCGGTAAGTAATGATTGATTTGTTGTAACAGCATAATTCGTCGAAGTATTAACTTGTGATGATTGTGGCACAATCTGAACATCATCCGTTAGATCTTCTTCCTCCGAATCAATTTCTTCTGGATTGTTCGATGTTGTAGGAACAGCCGATGAACAAGATTCTCGTTTTTTGCGAATCCAAACTCCAAGACCATTGCATACCACCAGATGAAGTCGATGGGCAATACCTAAATTCATATACCTATCGAAAATATGTAACTTTGAATGCAAATACGAACAATATATTTGCTTTATATCATCGCCCAGTAATTCAACTGCTTTTAGCATATTTGCAGCTCCGTCTGTTGTAATAGAGCGTGTTTTTTCAAGTACATTCAATTCTTGTAATTCCTTTTTAATAATCATTGAGATATTCGAAGATAAGTGACGATTATGAAAAGACGTGAATGACAGAATCTTCGAAAAAAATCGATGGTCAGATGATATGTAATGGCCAGTCAAACACATGTATGATTGTAAGCGTTTATCACTCCAAAAGTCACAGGTAATGCCTATAGACCGAATACTTGATAATTCTTTGATCAATAACGATTTGTGTTCAGATTCCAATCGTTTCAAATTACGCTGAACTGTGTTACGATGCGGTGGAACATAACCTATACATGGAACTCATCTTGTGAAACAATCAACTTTATCAGATGCATTTTACCTTCCACTAAATGATCGAATACTTTCACTATGCCTGATTGACTGATATCACTGAAACTTCTTCCATCCTCGATTATGCATTTGATTATTAATGAATCGAGCCGTTTCTTTTGTTCGGTTGAAAGTGAGCATCGTTTTGGTCGTGATTTAGTTGAAGTTGTTCCAAATGGTTGAAGCTTATGAATTTGATATAAATGTTTCCGTAATCCTGTTGTTGAACCGTTCTTTCGACTTAATAGAACATCGCAAAGCTTGCATTTTGCCTTTTGGTTGTCTTGTTTGACCATATAATTCCATAGATAAGTAGCATTTGCATCATTTGGTAGAGCCTGATCAGTATCATCCAAATCCATGTTGTTTGTGTCAGTTGGCTGACTCGTTTCAATATTATCCAAAGTTTCCATGATCATTTATTTTGATGTGCACTTTGCTTTCAATGAAGAATAATGTTTGAATGATAAGTATAAATTTTTTTTAAAAGACCACGACAGATAGAAAAAAAAACTCCACCACCTCCGTCTTAGAGATAAATCGGTAGGGTTATGACGAAGCCAACGTTCAGCCTTTTAGTTAATCACAGAAATCGTTAATTTATTCGAACCGTCCAATCTTGTGAGAAGTTTTGTATGAACCCTCTGGGGCAGATATGATTGAAAATTGCATAAAATTTTTTCTTAGAAGCAAGGATTCATCGGAAGTAAAAATCTCGCAAAATGATTTCAAGAATTTTTTTGGAAAGATACTTCGATTTGTGTAGATGTCACCCCTACACACACACCCTCATCCTCTTTATGTATAATGGGGGAAAATACGATTCGAACATTTGAGGTCGACGTGAAATAACTAAAACTTAGGTTATAATATGTAGTATTTGAATTAAAACGATTAAAGCAATGAGGTATCAATGAAACAGCTTTTAATTACACATTAGCAATTAAAATAAAACGTTTGTCTGGATGTTATATACTACTGTATACTATGTGGCTGAACTATTGAACTTTATTATTTACTCAAATCCATCGAGACAAAGTATTATTTATGGAATACAAACGTTATCCAATCTATGCGGAGAATCCGTGTTTAAATACGATATTACAGGAACATTTGCAATTAAAAAATTCATTCTTTTGATTTCCAAATGAGATACCACTTGAGTATATGGGTTTATAAACTCATGTAAAAGCTATGGATAGACTCGTATGAAGATTTCAAATAAGAGCATTGAAATTTACCCACATTGTAGTATGATCGATCCATTTTTGTAGAAAAAATGCATGTATTGTCTTCGGTAATTGATGACTAATGGTGGATAATCGGCGATTTTTATCAAAAGAGAAGCAATGATAGTTCCAAAACGTTTTCTACAACTAGAGGGCTTTTCTAAAGAGAATCATAAAACCAATACCAGTACCAATACCAAAGCCAAAACTGTATCAAAACTTTGCCAACACCAATACTTTCAAAACCAAAACCAAATCCAAACTGATGTCAAAACCATCAAAACCACATCAAAACTAAATTATTGCATTCGATACCGCACCGAAACCAATACTTCAATACCAAAATTTCAAAACTAGATTTGGTATTGGTGCATGCCTATGAACAATCCTTTTCCAGTTACAGAGATAAAGTATATAAATGCAAGAACTTTCATCTGATTATTCAGATAAAAATGAATTCAACTATCATTATTAGCAATAGTAGTAGCAGTAGCAACGAACAATACAAGAACATTTTCACTAATGCTTCTTATTCATTTTGGTTTTTTTTCCTGATTTTCTGTAGTATTCCTTCGATTTGCTGTTCTGTCTTTGATTTTTATCAATTTATAAAACATCGTCGAATCTTGATCTATGAAAATATCACTCATCACGTCATTCTCTGTTTAACTGTCAATGATTTTATTCAACTTCTTTTCATTCAACCAGTGGCATACGTTTATTTTTATTTTGGACACATAAAGTATATCTATAGTCCCACTTTTTGTATACTTTGGTCGTATTTTAACTATGTTTTCGTCACTCAATCATTATTTTATACAGCATATGCTGCAGTTGAACGCTACCTACTTTTATTCCATAAGCCAATTGTGCTGAAGCATAAAATTTTATTTCATTATATTCCATTATCAATCACCATTCTTTACCTTCCCTGTATCTTATTTTATCTAATCTTTTTTTTTCCATGTACGCATGAGTTTGATCCAACTCTAGATCAATGTGGTGAGCCATGTTTTGCTAATTCACAACCAATTGGTATTATCAATCAAATTGTACATTTATTTCTTCCTGTTGCAGTTCTTGTTCTTTTCAATACTTTAATTATTATCAAAATTTTAATACAAAAGAAAATTTTTTCTACTGCTGCCGGTGCATCGTTTTTAAGGAGTAATTTCTGGAAACAAAACAGTCGGATGATAATCCAATTAATAGCCATATGTCTTTTAGCATCCGCAGCTTGGATACCATATGTAACATTAGTTTTGATCATAATATTTACTAATGCTGAATTTGCTAGTTCAATGATCTTCTTTAATATTCTCAATGGAGCTTATCTACCTCTGCCTGCCACACCATTCTTTGCTCTGATTGGACTTCCATCAGAAATAAGAAGGAACATATTTACTTCTATGAAAAATTTCAGAGTAGTATGCCGGAGGCATAATCGTGTTACACATACAATGCCTAGAACTGAAAACATTTAACAATGCTTTAAAATATACTAACAAATTTTTATTGTTGCTCGTGATACGTAACTAATTTTCTGTTGTAGTAATAATAGAAACATATCAAATAAACTTTTTTCTTTAATCTCTACTAACTAACCTGCAAAAACAAATTCAACCTATTCATATATAACTTTAAGCCTTGAATAGTTGCTAATAATAGTCCAATCCTTAATCGCTTTAGATTGACGAAGCTTATCAGCTTCTATCTCAAATTAACATATAATGTCAAACTTAAAAAGCTAGTAATCTGAGACGTTCACATACTGTGTGATAACACAACGATATTTCGAAAAGATTTGTATTATTTTCATTAAATAAACCAGCGTTTATTATATTGACATTCATCATTCGAGAGATTAAGTACCATTGTCATTAACAATAGAAGCGTGAAGAGATAATGTCTATTCACAGACTACTACATGCATAGCTTTCGTTTGATTTTGCTGAGACGGAGGAAAAATTCAGGGAGAAAGTCTCCCAAACCTAGGAAGAAACCAGTCTTTATACTAATTTTTCTGTGTTCAGATGCACCTTTGATGAAAAGCTTTAAATATCGCGTTCTCAGTTATGACAGTTTTCTTTCAGTTATTGTACAAATAACTTAAGGAAAATAAAACTCGATGAAAATAAGCTCGTTTTTCTCTACAATTATTATTAGCGTTGTCTTCGCTCGAGAGACGAAACTCAATCTGTTTATTCGAAAACAGAACAAAGAAGAATGTAGAAGAACGATAAGAGAAAACAGATGGCGAATGATGTGAAGGTATGTGATGAACATGCCTGTAACATACCTCCCCAC